GACGTTCGTGTTTGATCATATACGTTGACAGGTTGGCAATCACCAATGATTGGAAACCATCCTGAGGCAGGCACGGTCCATCACTCCAGGCATCTTGAGCAATGTCGTAACAATGTACATGTTTCTGTACTATGAATGTACTTTCAGTGAGCTCTCCATCTATACAGTAGAGCTTTCCATCTTTGTAAACACTTCTGTATGCGTTTATTATGCACGATGCGTCTTTTGATCCGTGAGAAGGCATATCCTTGCATTTCGACCATCGGTCGAGTTTTGGATCGTAGCATTTTAAACTGTACGAGCATTTGGTATCCATTTCTTCCAATTCTACCTGTTGCCCACCAAGAACGTACAACTTGTCGCCAGCAGATGTCATACTGTGCCATGCTATTGGAAATGCGGCCGACATTGCAGATGCTTCACCCCATTGGTTCGTTTTAGGATTATAGTAAAGAAGTGCATTCGTATAAATCAAGCGATCTGTATAGAAGCATCCACCGGAGATATAAATCTGATCTTTATACACAGCTCCAGCTGAAGCAAATAGTGCTCGTACTAATGGGGCGACGTAACTCCAGGAATTAGTTGAGGGATCATATCGCTCTACTGAATTTATTCCCGTCGGGTGTCGGCTATTGCGGCCGCCAATAGCATATATATAACCGTGCAGGGTGACTACGCAGAAATCAGTTCTGCTCTCCAGCATAGAAGCAACATTACGCCACTGTTTCAACTGAAGATCAAAGCAATATACAGTACGAGTTGAGAACTGACAACCACTCGGGTCAATATCAGAACAGTGATAGTTCTCACCACCCACAATATATATATGATTATTAAGTAGAACGGCGCCGTAAGCCAATCTCTCAATAGGCATATCTGACAGTTTATGCCAGTGATTGGTGTGACAGTCATAATAACAGATGTAATTTTTGATAGTCTTTCCTTCATTGGTAGTTTCAAATCCTCCTAAAAAAAAACAAAAAAAGAATGTTTCATCAATAAGTCTTTCCACTGCAAGTAACTTTCAGTCAGTATTGCAGACAAGGGAGCTGATGTGCAGGTCTAATTACTTATAATTTGTAAATAATTCACATGATAGATCACAGCTTCCCACAATGCATAGAAATATTCTGAACTACAAATCAAGCCATCTTCAGTGAACGAAATCTGTGGTGTTTTGTTTTTTTTTTAAATGTTTTTTTGTGCCAGGCGACAGTTCCGGACTTTGAATGCCACTGTTGTCTCTCCTGACTTTTTTGTAGTGCAAATTGCAAGTGCAAGTGCAAGTGCTGCCACAGAAGTCATTTCCTGTTTGGGACAACATGGCAGGGCTGTGCGGCCATCTCCCTATCAAATAGCAATTTAATGCGCTATCCTGGCGGCAACCAGGCTCGGTCAAACACAAGCACCTGCAGACCTTAACCAAGATTCCCCCAAAGTCGCATTCGTTAGTGAATGAATCTCGGCCAGTGGATTGGCCTTCCCATTGAGTCTGTGGCAAACTCACCCAGGGTAGGGGGTCGACCCTTTTGATGTTCAGCCTAAGGTAGGATTTGAACTAGATCATGAGTCTGACGCAACAACCACTATGCTACCAGTGGTACTTTTAATCATGTCTAAATATTTATAAACTGATTTACCATTCACTTATTTGTTATATTCAGCCTGTGCCTTCATTTTAGTTCCTTCTTCCGAAGTTTTGAGACATTTCACCAGCAAGTCCACTGTACACTGATGTGGTAAAACCTCTGTTTTAAAACTGCACTTGAACTAAAGTGTTTCTTCTTATCCTCCCAAGCTGTTTGCCTATTAACATTCAGTATGGGCAAGTTTTGTCACAAGAATTCCTTTACTTGATATCTAACTTACCTATAGCAACAATAACTTGTTCCGTCTCCACTGAATAAGAGTGGTCACTGGACACAACCACTGGAGTGTCTGAGGTATGATGGACTAATGCATCTATGATGAGCTGCTGACAATGTTCTGTATCCAAAGATTGTACCGGTTTCACATGGGTCAGTAAGTCATCAACACTCATCTCATTAAGTGGCATATAGCTGTTCAATTAAGTACAATTATAATATTATAGTTTTTTGCCTTTATTGTAATTTTCTTTTTCTGAGTCAATATCCAAATAAGGATACGATTATGCAATAAAGATTATTATGATTACAAAAGCAAAATTGAGTGTTTGAATAGTAATATTAATAATAATAATTAGCCTTTGAAACAGCTTAAAAAAACATACCAGTTAACAAAAAAGTATAAAAGCACTCATACATGTGAATCGTTTGATTCCCATAGCCAGGTGAGAAAGTTTTGGATTTTATTTGGTGTCTTATTTCCCAAATCCTTACTGATTACCCATAAAGCATGGCTGAAGAGAAAATTAATTCTGAAATTAATTCCACCAGAAAAAAATCTATCTACAATAGTTGGTTCTCCACCACTTTCCACTATTGTATTGGTCAGTTCTGAGTAGAATCCACTTCTCAAGTGGTTAGATGATTTGCAAAGAAATAAAAAGTAATAAACATCCTCCTTTTTCTATCCTGTTTAAAGAGGGAAATGCCATGATGATCATGGGGATCTTTTTCTTGTATGTAATCAAGCCATAGCGTTCAGAGAATTTCATTTTATGTCTCACCAAAACATTTTATTTCCTTTTCTTTACTAATTTTATAGAAACTTTTAATTCAACTAACATTCTATGGTCTTTTCAATATTGAATGATATTGTTGATATATTTTGGCTAGTTCCAAGCAAGTTCAGCTTTGTTCTGATTGTCTACCTGGTATTATTCATCTTTTGTAATCTGTCCAAATACTGTATTTGAGATTTCCTATTTACTTTAAAAAGAAACTTGCCAAATTGATACTGAATGTTGTTCAATGGGAGATGTAATTAGATGAGATGGTAACACCTCTTTCATATGTAAAAAATGATATCTGTGGGTTTAAATATTTGATAATTAGTAAAATCAGCAGGTATTGGTTGAAACTTACTTGATAGCTCGGTTGATAACATCTTCTTTTACTGTAACATTTTGTCGTTCCAGCCAGCTAACCAAGACTTTGAATCTTTGCAATGGGGAATGTGTCTCCATCCACTTACTCTGCAGAAAGGCCATCAGTTGCTCGGCTGTCAGATCACTCAGCTCTAGAAGAGCATCTTGTCTTGTCACCATGGCAACAAACATATCGATAACTTTCTCATATCTTGTGAATTTCTCCAGGAGTCCATAGGCAGTCGTCAAGGCAACCACCTCCATCATGTTCTCCTCTACGAGCTCATCTACTAAGAAGGATATACACAGACACACTAGTGGCTGAACTTGCAAGTAGTTTGCTACAGCCAGAATGGTATCAGAATTTCTGTGGTTCAAGGTCGTCTTGCCGGTATACATAAATTCTAACACTGCTTTCAGCCCTTCCATGCTCATATCATGCAACTCAACTTCTTGCTCATTGTCTACACTTTCTTTCATCCCACCGGTGAACATGGCCCTGAAGTAGTCGCTGCAAGTAGCGAGAATGGCTCGGTGAGCTGGGAATCGTTGATTATTGATAAAGATGACAACATCACTCAGGTCGTTACTGCAGTACAGTTGCATCAACCCTGCTAAAAATTTATCCCCATAATCCTGTTCTTTCTTTTCGCTCATCTCGCTGATCACTGAATCACAGCCATGGCTGTTGTTACTGGCAACCGATGTGGGGATGTCAAGAGTCAAGTTACTGGTAAGCTGGAATCCCTGTACACCTGTAATATTTTATGTGTATGCATAATAAATAAGGGAGACCATGTCGAAAGTTTGATTGACGCTCAAAACATGTGAATAGGTAAAGGGTACAATGATCTGAGATAATCATTAATCAGTTCTTTCACAGACCCAATAATTTGCATTAGAATTTCTAAAAATGTAAGTTTGTTTTGTGATTTTGTAATTATCCTGCAATTCATGTGACTTTGTCATCCCATATATTTCATCACTTGCATACCTTGGTCTTGTAAATCCTTGATATTACTATATTCATCATATCAGCATTACGATCATGACCCTTATCTCTTGGGTAAACAACAAATCATAATACACTCACAAACATGTTATTAAAATAATATCAATCACTTAGGGCGATGTATTACATATCATTTCAATAATTCTGAAAAGTATTGCTCTGAAAGTTGCAAATGGGAAAATAACTGTTGCAAGAATTTCTTGTCACTGTGAATACTATGAAGCCCTTGCCAAAGTACAATTGAGTGTTGAGTGATGAAAAGCTATTACCCCCCCCCC